CCCCAAAACCCCAAAACCCCAAAACCCCATGATGTGCTAAATAGAAAATTGGGAAAGATAGAATTTTTAATACAGTAAGTTTATATCATATGATCAAGGTTTAATATCTTCAATTTAGTCTAATGGCTTTTATTTGTTAGCAATTAGACTATGTAATGAATGACTTTTTCACTCTGGTCTTTGGATATTCTTCCTCTTCTTTTAGGCTGAATTTTAGAAAATTTGGCTTTGTGCTTGATTACCCTCTGCTAGTTTTGGTTTTTCATTATTTTATTGCTGCATTCTTCTATTTTTTTCTGAATCAACAATAAATGTATGATCACCGTAAGCTTCTTTATTCTTGTTGTATGTCTTATAGTCAAAATCTATGGCTCTATCAATTGTTTCATCTGGATCTAGCCAAGACCAGAAAAATAGCATGAGGTAGTCCAAAATCATAAGAAGTACTGCAAATAATCCAGCAATCGGTCCTAGAGATATTCTCATCTTCATTCTATTTAAAATTGTTGGGGTAGGTTGATGGACGATATCATCGTAAACTCTTTCAACTCTTTTTGCAACAAATCTCCAATTATATAATCTCTTCACCTTCTCATGAAAGAGATTAGAAGGTATTTTCTTATAATGCGCTATCGCCTTCTCTAGCTATTCTATCATAGGTTTAGGGGAGGCAGGGGCAAGATATATCATTTCTGGGGGTAATACTTCTGGAACACCGCCTACATTGGTGCTAACACATAATAAACCACAACTAGCAGCCTCGATGATTGCAATACAAAAAGCCTCTGTTAAAGAGGTATTCAAAAAAATGTGTCCTCTACAGAGTACCTCTCTTACTTTATCATGAGGGACTCTACCTAATAACTCCATTCTATCTCCGAGATTGTATTTATCCATCATCGCCTCAAGAATTGCTTTCTTGGGACCATCACCACCTATGATAAAGTAAACATCAGGATACTTTCTGATCATCTCTGGAATTATGTCTACTAGCAAATCTACTCCTTTTCTATAAAACATTCTTGATACCACTACTATATTGATTCTGTTAATTGGATATCGAAGGCCAGGATTAGGCTTGAATCTCGAAGCGTCTACTGCATTTGGAATGACGTAGACTTAATTTGGGTTAATTGCAGCTCTGAGTGTTAGATTCTCTTTATTAATATGAGAAACACAAATGCAAGCATCAATATCAGATAGCACCCATTTCAAGCACTTGTTGATATGGATAGATCCAGCATCTCCAAAGCCAAATAAAGAGTGGTCAGTGAATACTACTTTCTTGCCAAGAGTTAACCCATGCAAGAGCGACTGTAAATTTAGGACAGAAGTGCTCTGATGGCCATGCACGATATCAATGTTCTCTCTTATTATAATTTTTCTGATTATACACATTATCATGCAGAGATTGAAGAATGAATTCTAACTAGTGAAAGGTATTAAAGGCAGATGATAAACCTTCATTCCATTGCTGACATATCTTATTCCTACTCTTTCTTAGTTGTACATATTACACATAACCACCACCTTATGTCCTCTTTCTATCAAGCACTATCCTAGCTAATAAATGTGCATTTCAACTCCTCCAAGATTTGGATAGAAATAGTCACAAGCCAATAGGATATTATAGCTCCTTGGAGAACCTCTTTATTTGTCGATTTGCTCCACCATTATTTTAATTCAAATCTGATATATTTTAAATTATTATTATTTAGTCTAGTCGACGAAAATGCTATCACAATGGGGTTTTGGGGTTTTGGGGTTTTGGGG